TTCTGACACTCGGACTTAACATAGACAGGCTTAATATCTTACCCCAAACCTCAGTAATCTCCGACCATTACCTAATCTCTTATGAGCTACGTCTTAGCCATAATACATGTACGTCCCCTCGCTATTCTGCAAAGCGCGCAATAAAACCACTTACCGCCCTAAAATTCATAGAAAACCTCCCAGTACTAACAACCCTAGTCTCCACTCCATCAGACCCAATGGAGCTAGATGTATTAACCGACTATTTAGAAAAGACCTTCCGATCTACTTTAGAAAATGTGGCGCCACTAAAAATCAAAAGGATAAGACAGAAAAAGCTCGCCCCATGGTACGATGATAAAACCCGTACCTTAAAACAAACAGTACGGAAACTAGAGCGGAAATGGCGATCAACCAAGCTGGAAGTGTTCCACTTGGCCTGGAAGGACAGCCTTATAGAGTATAGAAATGCTCTCACTAAAGCTCGCTCAGCATATCTGGCCTCGCTGATCGAGAACAATAAAAATAATCCTAGAGTACTGTTTAGTGTGATCTCTAGAATTACAAAAAATCAGGCAGGTACTGAACCACAAATTCCGGCGACCCTCACCAGTGAAGTTTTTATGGACTTTTTTAATAATAAAATCGAAAATATTAGACAACAAATTCAACCCACAGTATTAAATCCAACTTGGCTGTCATCTGACATGGCTGATATAAAACATAACATAGCTGCAGAAGAAAGGCTTGAAAATTTCTACCCACTCCCACAGCCAGAACTAGAGAAGATTATCTCCTCTGCAAAGTGTACAACCTGCACACTTGATGCAATCCCCTCAAAATTACTCAAAGAAGTACTACCAGTTATCATTAATCCTCTTTTAACTATAGTAAACTCGTCCCTTAGCCTGGGCCATGTACCCAGAGCTTTTAAACTAGCAGTTATTAAGCCCCTGATCAAGAAACCAAACCTTGATGCTAGTGTATTGTCTAATTACAGGCCTATATCTAACCTGCCATTTATATCTAAGATCTTAGAAAAAGCTGTAGCCCAGCAACTTAGTTCATATCTACATAAGAACCACATATTTGAGAAATTCCAATCTGGATTCAGGCCACATCACAGCACTGAGACAGCTCTAGTTAAGATAACAAATGATCTTCTTCTTGCCTCTGATCAAGGCTACGTATCCCTGTTAGTGCTACTTGACCTCAGCGCAGCTTTCGATACGATAGACCACAATATTCTCCTTGAAAGGTTAGAAAACATGGTTGGAATCACAGGGACCGCCCTATCGTGGTTCAAATCTTACTTAACGGAACGTTATCAGTTCGTAAAGGTAAATGACTTATCTTCCAATTATTCACAAGTAAGATCTGGAAGGCTCTATTTTAGGACCATTATTATTTACATTATACATGTTACCGTTAGGCACAGTTATAAGTAGCCATGGCATTAACTTTCACTGTTACGCAGACGATACGCAACTGTACATATCAGCCAAGCCTGATGACAAATACAGGTTAAAGAAAATAGAGGACTGTGTAAAAGATGTGAAGGGCTGGATGTCGCGTAACTTCCTCCTCCTAAACAGTAACAAAACAGAGGTTCTCCTTCTGGGTCCAAAAGTGGCAAGAAATAAATTATCAGATTTAACTTTAAATCTCGCTGACTTTCCAGTTATACCAGGTTCAGCAGCAAAAAATCTTGGTGTAATACTCGATCCAGATTTATCATTTGATCAACACATAGGCAGCATCACTAGGACAGCTTTTGTACATCTTCGCAACATCGCCAGAATAAGAAATGCCTTATCGCTGCACGATGCAGAAACATTAGTACATGCCTTTATTACCTCAAGGCTAGATTACTGTAACGCATTACTGTCAGGATGCACCAGCAGGAATTTAAGTAAACTTCAACTAGTTCAAAATGCTGCAGCCGGGGTTCTCACTAAAACTAGAAAATTTGATCATATCAGTCCAGTTCTATCATCACTCCATTGGCTGCCTGTTAAATTCCGTATTGATTACAAAATTCTTTTATTGACGTATAAAGCCCTACATGGGCTCCTGAGTACCTGCAAGACCTTATTTCCCTTTACGAGCCACCACGATTACTCAGATCACAGAGTGCTGGCTTTTTAATAGTTCCCAGAATTCAGAAGGCTTCATCTGGGGGAAGAGCCTTTTCTTATAAAGCCCCCAAACTCTGGAATGATCTTCCAGAAAATGTTCGGGACTCAGACTCAGTCGCAATATTCAAATCTAGGCTGAAAACTCATTTGTTTAGTTTAGCTTTTGGTAGCTAATGTTTCCCCTTGGATAAAGGCAGCAGATCCAGGGGTCCATGGACGCAGGGAATTATAGTAAACTGAGACGCTGGTGCTGTCGTCCTGCCGCTCACACGCGATCACTCAGGTTTGTGGACGGTGGAGCGGAGGAATGCCAGATTGTTTCAGGGTGCTCCCGTGTCTGTGTGCCCTTTTGGTTCTCTCCTTTTAGTTAAGCTGTTATAGTCAGATCTGCCGGAGTCGTTAGCCACACTCTGGAAATGTTTTACATACTACTATACATACACCCATACAGAACTAAACTAACTCCATTTCCCTACCTTTCTTCCGAGAAAACGACTGCTCACCTGTCCGGCCGGACACTGCTGGATGATTGTTTGTAGAGCTCTCCGGCTACCCGCTTCAGACCAGTTACCCACAACCCAGTCACCGCCACCTGCCTTGGACTGGCTGCCCACTCTACACTGAAGTCTCCTAACTATTACTACTATTACTATTAATATTAGTAGAATAATAATTTTGTACGTAGTTTGACCAGAGGAGGATGGGTCCCCCCATGTGAGCCTTGGTTCCTCCCAAGGTTTCTTCCTCAACTGAGGGAGTTTTTCCTGGCCACTGTCGCCCCTGGCTTGCTCACCTGGAGGATTTACATTTCATGTTGAAACTTTGTTCTAAACGGATTTCTGTGAAGCTGCTTTGTGACAACATCAGTTGTAAAAAGCGCTATACAAATAAATTTGATTTGATTTGATTTGATATTATATAACATAAGCTAACGTATATTAGCAATATATGTGATCCATATATTAATGTTTTCTATCATATATTGGTAAATATACGTGTTACACATATATGTTTGTATATGCCGATAAATGGTTGAAATGTATGCACCATTTTTGAAAATGGCCCATTTCAAATAAAATGGCATAAATGTCACATATATGTCCTTATGTGACTTATATTAGCTGGATATATAAGGGAAACACATATATGCTAACATTTGTCATATTTTTCAAACACATATTAAGCGACCCTTATTAATCCCACAGCGGGGAAATTTCACCTCCGTATTTTAACCCATCAGTGCAGTGAAACACCACATACACACTAGTGAACACACACACTAGGGGGCAGTGAGCACACTTGCCCGGAGCAGTGGGCAGTCCTAACCACGGCGCCCGGGGAGCAGTTGGGGGTTAGGTGTCTTGCTCAAGGGCACTTCAGTCATGTACTGTCTGCTCAGGGGATCGAACCAGCGACCTTCTGGTCACAAGGCTGGTTCCCTAACCTCCAGTGCACATCTGCCCCCTACAATATACTGACCCCTACATATCGCTGTTGTTGGAAGAAAACCTTGTTTCTCCAAAATGGTAACTTTACAGGAGAAAGAAATGTGCTACACCTTAGCAACCACCTGTTGCTTAATGTAAGCCAATGGAACCAGATGTTTTTCCAAGTAATTTTGGGTCGTTTCTTTTGGTCCATTCATCATGAAAATTACACACAATATAAAGAACAGACATGTTCAAATCATGTCAAAAACTGAAAAACGACAAAATGGAGATACAAGGTTTTGTTCCGACAGCAGCGATATATTCCCAAATATCAAATATCAGATTTTCGTATGAAACAGGGGTCTGGGAACTGATTCCAGATGCATTTGATGGTTTCCTAATGAGATCTAAAGGTGTCCTACAGGAAACTAGTGGTCTCTAAATCCCATCAGAAAGCAAAACCATCAGGTTTTAATCCAAACGGTTCTAATGGTCTTTTTTCAGCAGGGAGACAAAATGCCTCCGCCAGTCCGACTGATCGGGTCACTTCTCTTCTGACATTCTGACCACATCACTGTTGCCTGCACTGATTTAATCTTACTGGAACAACAACCCAGACAGAGACAGAAAACACTTCCCGAACTCACTAATCATCAATAAGAGTGATTTACACTGCAGACTCAGACAAACCACAGACATCACACACACTCCAACCTAATGAGAAACTGTAGAACAGACTCAGTTTATATCACAATACCTACATTTAGAGTCAGTTATTCATTCAGCCTAATGAGAAACTGTAGAACAGACTCAGTTTATATCACAATACCTACATTTAGAGTCAGTTATTCATTCAGCCTAATGAGAAACTGTAGAACAGACTCAGTTTATATCACAATACCTACATTTAGAGTCGGTTATTCATTCAGCCTAATGAGAAACTGTAGGACAGACTCTTGGTGTGAACTTTGTGTGCTGGAGTTTCTCATTAGGTCGAATTGATAAGGATTTTGCACTCCTGGTCAAACTAGACATTTTGTTGATTTTTAAGCGAAAAGAACGAGTACTTTCTGAAATGGCCTTCAGCATCGCCAGATTGAATACTCCTGAAAATCTGTGGTTGGATCTTAAGCACTGTGTGCATGCAAGATGACCTACACTCTCAGAAAAAAGTACTAAACTGTCACTAGGGTGGAACCCTCAAGAGCATGTCTTCAGTACCTTTAGTTAGGGAACATAATTGTACCAAACTCCTTTGTGATCATGTTTTTTAAGTTTTTTAAGAAGTATTAACTTCAGACACTCTAGCCTTTTTATTTTATGATCCTGTTTTAAATATTAGGTTATGAAAAGGTAAAAGGGGGCCTAAACTTATGCACACACCTCACTCACACACACACACACACACACACCTTAACCTGCTTTTTAATCAGTTTCTGATGAAGCTGCTCACCTTCTCTACAGTCGTCGCCATGGAAACCTGGACAGCATCGCCACTCCAGTGCAGTGACCAGTCTGTAGGTCACTCTGTATGAGGGTCTGACCAGCGTCCTGTAGCTAACACACAAGATAGGTGTTTCTAATAAAGTGGCCAGTTAGTAGAAGCACAAGGTGGGTGTTTCTAATAAAGTGGCCAGTTCGTGGAAGCACAGTGTGGGTGTTTCTGATAAAGTGGCCAGTTAGTAGAAGCACAAGGTAGGTGTTTCTAAAAAAACTGGCCAGTTAGTGGAAGCACAATGTGGGTGTTTCTAATAAAGTGGCCAGTTAGTGGAAGCACAAGGTAGGTGTTTCTAATAAAGTGGCCAGTGAGTGGAAGCAAAAGGTGGGTGTTTCTAATAAAGTGGCCAGTTAGTGGAAGCACAAGGTAGGTGTTTCTAATAAAGTGGCCAATTAGTGGAAGCACAATGTGGGTGTTTCTAATAAAGTGGCCAGTTAGTGGAAGCACAAGGTAGGTGTTTCTAATAAAGTGGCCAGTGAGTGGAAGCAAAAGGTGGGTGTTTCTAATAAAGTGGCCAGTTAGTGGAAGCACAAGGTTGGTGTTTCTAATAAAGTGGCCAGTTAGTGGAAGCACAAGGCGGGTGTATATATATATATATGATAATAAATGTAACCAATGTGCATCTACAAAATAAAACACTGCTTTATGAAAATCAGTTTTTCTCTTTACCTGATGAGGTTTTGGCACGGCCCGGGCCATCGGCAGGTTTGGAAGCGCCGCTGGACCACAGTCTCCGTCCCGTTGTGCGTCTGACAGGAAACCGCCTTCCATACAGTGAACTGGCACCTGTTCCTGAACTCAGACGGACTGGGAAACATCGATTAAAGAGAAAGTTCAGCACACAAAGGAACTGTACAGTCTTCCCCATTAAAAACAAATGTAACCCATCAGCCAAGACATGCTTGGTGTCTGAAGTTTGGTTCTTTAGTTGTAGCACTGCAGCTATGAGGCCAATATAGCTAACAAGTAATGGCAGATTAAACCCCACCAATTAGCATGGTGCTAACTGTAAGCCTAAATCAGCGGCTCAAGTTGTTCAGCCCTCTTTAATAGACTTGATTATGTGGTTTATGACACCATGTTATCTGTTAACGTGCACTGAAGAGCAGCATTTTATTCAGTCACGCTGCACTTTGGTCAACATTAGTTGTTTATAAATGTGCTCTATAAATAAACTTGACCTCATTCCCTCAGCATCTCCTTTCCCTACAGAGGAGCTCAACTTTGGCCATATCAGGCCACAGAACATGCCTCAAAAAACACTTTTACTTCTACAAACTCTGTATTCAGTCGGCAACTCAGCAGTGTCCAGTTTAGTGCTGTCCTGTAGCATGTGAATGATTCTGTCCTGCTCTTTGTGAGATTTCCCGCTATAACCGCATTTGCACTGCAGGTGTGGGTGTAAATTGTGTTGAATGTGTCATGTTTTGACTAAACAGCAAGAAAAAACTTATTCTTATTGCAATAGTGCAATAGTTTTAGGCAGAACATTAGATTCAAAAAGCTGTTTATCTGGGAAGTAAGAGCTTATTTGCTCATAAAAATAGAAATATTATAATAATTAAAAACAATATTAACACAATAAGTAACGATACAGTATATAATGTATGTCAATGTTTTTGATTAACTATTTCCTCATGGAAGCCAAGTATTCTTAAGTTGGGTTGAACAAGACAGCATAGAGATAGCCTAGCAAAACCTTAGCAACCACCTGGGATTCCATAGCAACACCTTAGCAACCACTTGATATAGCATATCAATCGCTTTCCAACACCTTAGCAACCCCTTGAGACAGCATAGCGACACCCTAGCAACCACCTGAGATACCATAGCAACCACTTAGCAACCCACAAACAACCACCTAGGATATTATTGCAACCACCATGGATACTACAGCAACCACCTAGCAACACCTTAGCAACGATAGCAAAGATACCATAGCAACCAGATAGCAGCACTTTAGCAACCACCTAAAATACCATTGTAAACATCAGGCAAAACCCTAGCAGCCATCTATGAGTTGCTTAAGCTGCGGAATTGCTCTGCATTTTCTTCAGGAGATGCACTTTTCTAGTTTTTTATAGATTTTGCACTTTATAATGCACCACACATTTTGAATCGGAGACAGACAGGTCAGTCTAGCACCCGCACTCTCTGATTACACAGCCATGCTGCTGTAACACGTGCAGAAAGTTTCTTGGTGTTGCCATGTTGAAATAATCTTGGACGTCCCTGAAAAAGACGGCGTCTAAAAGGCGGCATATGCTGCTCCAAAATGTGTTCAGTGTTAATGATGCTTTCACAGATGTGCAGGTTACTCACTATTACCCCTCCACACATAATGACAGACGCTGGATTTAGAACTTTACACTGGTAACAGTCTGGATGGTCCTTTTCTTTGGCCTGAAGAACGCAATGTCCATCATTTCCACAAACAATCTGAAAGGTTGACTCGTCAGACCCCAACACATGTTTCCATTAAGCATCAGTCCATTTCAGATGGGCTTGAGCCCAGAGAAGTCGGCTGTGTTTCTGGACGTTGTTGACCTCCACTGTGTGGAGTACAGTCTAAACTTGAATTATTGATACAACAATAAGTGTTCACTTTATTTACAACAGTTTGTCAAAGTATTGTAGCATTCCGCTGCTGGTTGGCGCCAGAGACTTTGGAGGCATGGCTATGCAGAAAACCACAAGCAAAAGCTCATGGTAGCACACACCCTCCAACAATGGACTGTTTATTGTTGTCTGTTGGTTATACAGGGAGATTCATTTGAAAGAGGCCCCGAATATTCTGCTGTAACTCCCGTTAGGATAAAGTAATCCGAACCAAAAAAATACACTACATACCTTGACGTATGTGTAATCGACTGCATTACATGTGATGCTGGAAGTGATCTCTGTTTTCTGCCAGACACATTTCAACGTGGTGCTCCATGTTCCTGAATGTATCAGCTAGTATTAGAGAGGTTAAACGTTGCGACGGCTGTCCAGCGCCTGCTTCATCGCTCCGATGCAGGGACATCCTGGCTTGTTCACAGCTCCACATACTAAGGAGCACATTGCATGTTGTTTCGTTCAGATTGCTTCGTCCTAGAGAGAGTTATTACAGAATATTCGGGGCCTCTTTTGAGTGAATCTCCCTGTAGTTATGTGTATGTGTTGCTTTTATTATTTAGTGTAGGGAGATTTGGGTTTTGTGTGTGAGGGGGTCACTGTCAGGGTCCCTGTGTTTCTTCTTCTGCCAGTACTACAGTATCCTTGAGGCCGTGATAGTCATCATAACAGTGCTGGGTTTTAAAGTGGTGCCATCTGAGGAATTGACTGTCCCGGGCATTCAGCTGTGCTTTTTGGCCTTTGTATGCACAGAGATTTCTCTGGAATCCTTGTATCTTTTGATGATAATATGCACTGTAGACAATGAAACACCTAAAATCCTTACAAACTCTCATTGAGGAACAATGTTTGTAAACAGCTGGACTATTTGCTGATGCATTTTTGGGCAAAGTGGTGAGACTTAAAACATCCTCGCTCATAAAGGACTCAGCCTTTCCTGGATGCTTCTTTTATAAGCATAATTACATCACCTCTTTTAAAATGTTTTTTTTTTTTAATATTTCACAATGTTCCTAGTCTCAAACTGCTCCTGTTCCAACTTTTCTGGAATGTGTTGCATGCATCAATTTCAGAATGAGCATATATTTACAAAAACTATGAAGTTAACAAGATAAAACATTACATATCCTTTCTTTGCGCTGCTTTCATTTAAATACGTCAAAGGGATTTCATAATCGCTGCAATCTGTTTTTATTCGCATTTCACATGCTGTCAATTTTTTTGGAATTGGGTTTGTACTTTATTTCACTTTCTGTGTTATACTTTTATTATCACAGATTTATATACCCCTGAGTTTAAGGTGGCAGTGAATTTAAGGTATCAGTAAATTTAAGGCGGCACTGCATTTAAGGTGGAACTGAATTTAAGTTGGAAGTGAATTTAAGGTATCAGTGAATTTAAGGTGGAACTTCATTTAATGTGGCACTGAATTTAAGGTAGCACTTAATTTAAGATGCCAGTGAATTTAAGGGTGAACTGCATTGTAGGTAGCACTGCAATTAAGGTGGCACTGAATTTAAGGTGGAACTTCATTTGAGGTGGCACTGAATTTAAGGTGGCAGGGGATTTAAGTGTGTTTAGTAGCATAACAACCACCTCTCAACACCTTAGCAACAACCTCGGACACCATAGCAACCACCCAGCAACACCTTAGCTACTGCCTTGGATACCCTAGCAACCAAAACTTTAGCAACCATCAACAGTCTTCCACCATTTCAACGTTTTAACTTTTTCAAGCCAACTTAGTTCGTGAACGAACTTTCCCTTTCTAGCTACAGATTTATATTCGCTCCTTGTGTTTTAAATGAGGCTTAGCTACATTGTATAGGTCAACCACAATGTACCCAGAGTTTTAGTAAAGGTTCATTGATTGATTGATTGATTGATTGATTGACTGTGATCGTAGCTTAAAACTTTCCTAATCTCTCTTCAAAGAACTCCAGTAATCACACTTACCACTCTGGTACTAGTTTATCTAATCAATACTTCATTAAATTAAATCAGGTGCTGCTGATGAAACCGAACAAATCCACGTGATGGCTGGAGTCAGGAACCAAGAGTTTCTCTAACTGTGTTCTTCTGACCTACATATTCATATTGGTACTAACAAACAAACAGAACTTGTTTGACGTGTGTTCTATATAGCACCAAAAAGGTTCCACTATTGTTACAATGTCAAGCCTGAATACAATAGAACACTTTTGCTGCTATATAGAACCATTCTCCATCAATGTGAAGAACGCTTTCACTGTGCAAAGAGCCTTTTAAGCATGCAAAGGGTTCTTTGAGTGTTCATGGTTCTATAAAGAACCCTTGTGGAACCATCTTTTTAAAATGTTTATATGGATCTATCTAGAACCTTTTCTTTAAAAATAGAACTTGTTTGACGTGTTCTATATAGCACCAAAAGGTTCCACTAATGGTACAATGTCAAGTCCAAATACAATAGAGGAACACTTTTTGGTGCTATATAGAACCTTTCTACATCAATCTGAAGAACCATTTCACCATCTTTGAGTGTTCATGGTTCTATATAAAACCAGCCTTTACTAAAGAACCCTTGTGGAACCATCTTTTTAAAATGTTTATATGGATCTATCTAGAACCTTTTTCTCCACTATTGTTACAATGTCAAGCCTGAATACAATAGAAGAACACTTTTTGGTGCTATATAGAACCATTCTCCATCAACATGAAGAACACTTTCACTGTGCAAAGAGCCTTTTAAGCATGCAAAGGGTTCTTTGAGTGTTCGTGGTTCAATACAGAACCAGTCTTTACTAAAGAACCCTTGTAGAACCATCTTTTTTAGAGTGTAGCATCAGAAATAAGCCTTACTGTGTGAAGTGGCTGCTGTTTCTTACCTGCTGAGGAGACTCTGCCCTGGTTCTCCAGACGGTTTCTCCATCAGCTGCTGCACTCGGATCCTGGGCATCTGATAGATCACTTCAGAGGCTCTACAGGGGCCCAGCGCAAAAATGATGATGGAGAAAAAACTCAGAGACACGCGCAGCATCGTCCACACTGGGGCAGCTCGGCCAGTCTGAGCTGGATTTTGTGTGCTTGGTGTTTTTAGCAGCAACAGAAGTGAAAAGGAGTTTCTCTAAACACTGAATCATGTTTGGAGCTTGAATGGCTCACACCCATATTCTCACAAGCCACGCCCCACAAGCAGCATGTAGGACAGCATTAGCCACTCCCACTGCAGGATTTCTTCTTTCCTAAAATATCTGTATAATTTAGTGCTTAAGATGTAATCAGAGCGGTTCAGAGCGGTTTGGTGTGAAACGCTCTGTTCTAGATAAACTTACCGAGTCAGAACTGTTCACAGTGGTGGTGATAGGAACCAGACGTCCACCTCTAAAAGCTCCCTCACAGAAAGTTCCTACATGAAATGGTTATGAATTCACTGCCTGATGACTGAGACACTGTTTTATGATCGTTTTGAGAACTTAAACTCCATTCATGGTGGAGGGATACATGCAGGGCGCTGTGAGGGAAAATAGTCCCCAAAGAAAACGTATTATTTCAGATTTTCCACTATTTTCCATCATCAACATTCCATATAAACTCAGAAGACTCGTGTAGGTTCACTGGTTGTTCTGGATAGTAAATAAAATGTCTATATCTGTGTTGTAGTCATGGCGACCCCTGGTTCCTATCACCACCACTGTAAAGACATCTGAACCATTTCACACTAAACCTCTCTGAATCTCTCTGTATCTCTCTGTTTACAGCTCACACACTGAATTACGGGGGATTTTTGAAAAACAGGTGGGATTCCCCTTTAAGCTAGCTGTTATTTAAAACAATAAAATCTGCTCTGGAAAGTCTTTTAGCACAGATCCTCCTTCAACTTCTGACAGTTTTGCTTGTGCTTTAGTCTTAGCTAACTGATTAGCTTAGCATTAGAATTTTTCTGTTTGTGGCATAATACTTCTTCTGTAAGTTCCACTGTCTTCTCTTCTTGACATGTCCACTGTGTTCTCTGGTCCTTTAGATTCAGATTTAGGTATTTTTTCCAACAAACTGGTCTCTAATAGCACTGAAAACATTGAATTTATGCAGAAATGTTGAAAATTGGTAGAATTCCCCTTTAAGCTAGAGAGCTGTTATTCAAAATGATAAAATCTGCTGTGAAAAGGCTTTTTAGCACAGATTTACCATCAATTTCTGAGTTTTGCTTGTAAAGTCGTTCATGTATATCAGCCACTGTTAGCTTTAGCTAATGTAAGAGAAGGCGTCGCTGTTAGCTTTAGCTAAGGTAAGAGAAGGCGTCGCTGTTAGCTTTAGCTAAGGTAAGAGAAGCCGTCGCTGTTAGCTTTAGCTAATGTAAGAGAAGCCGTCGCTTTTAGCTTTAGCTAAGGTAAGAGAAGGCGTCGCTGTTAGCTTTAGCTAGCTAAGGTAAGAGAAGCCGTCGCTGTTAGCTTTAGCTAAGGTAAGAGAAGGCGTCGCTGTTAGCTTTAGCTAAGGTAAGAGAAGGCGTCGCTGTTAGCTTTAGCTAGCTAAGGTAAGAGAAGCCGTCGCTGTTAACTTTAGCTAATGTAAGAGAAGCCGTCGCTGTTAGCTTTAGCTAGCTAAGGTAAGAGAAGCCGTCGCTGTTAGCTTTAGCTAAGAGAAGCCATCACTGTTAACTATCTTTTCCCTTCACTTCTTTTCTTTTTGTCTGCCTTCACTTTTTCACTTTCTGTGTCTGAATTCTGTCCTTTTAGTTGATAATCAGTTTAGTGTCTTAGCTAACTGATTAGCTTAGCATTAGAGTCCTTGTCTTTTTGTGGAGTAATAATTTTTTATAAGTTCCAAGTTTGCAGAAATGTTGACAATCAGGTGGACTTCCCCTTTAAGCCAGCTGTTATTTAAAATGATCAGATCTGCTCTGAAAAGGCTTTTAGCAGATTTGTCAGCGTCTTTCAGACAGTTTTGCTTGTAAAGTCGCTCATGTGTTTCAGTCACTGTTAGCTTTAGTTAATGTCAGCGAAAAAAGCCCCTTTTCATCTTTTATTATGTTTTCCCTTCACCTCCTTTTCTCAAAGTGTTTGTATACCTTCAGTTTTTCACTTTCTGTGGCCGAACTCTGTCCTTTTAGTTCATAATCAGGTTTGTGTCTTAGCTGATTAACTTAGCATTAGCATTTTTCTGTTTGTGGCGTAATACTTCTTCTGTAAGTTCCACTGTCTTTTTTCTTGACCACTGTGTTCTCTGGTCCTTTAGATTTAGATTTAGGTATTTTCCTCCAACAAACTGGTCTCTAGTAGCACTGAAAACACTGAATTTATGCAGAAATGTTGAAAAATTGGTGGACTTATCCTTTGAGCTTGGACGAGTGCTGCCCCCTGCTGACCAAAATATTATTACATCTGAATAAATGGCACATTTAGCATATCTAAATATTATCTTAGAAATATATACAGAAAAAGAACCAAATGGAGCCGCAGAAAGGTTCTAAAAGTTTATTGACATTTTAAATAATAATATAATTGCAACATCCATGTGCCACTCAACCAGTGTGGAATAATAAACGTCAAAGAAAACAAAAAAAAAACAAAATACCTTCCGAGTCAATTAACAGTAACATTGTAAAATCAAAACGCCTTTGATTGATATCAGAATCAGAAAGAACGCCCCGTATCACACAATCACAGTCCGATACGACGGGCAGAAAAACACAAGCTTCTTTGGGTGGCAAAGCAAAATAAAAGCGTCAAATAAATGCGGCTGCATGGGGCAGATTTGATTAAAGACACTAATAAAAGCTCTCTGACAGGCGGAGGCGTTTAAGACCCTGAGGAGACGTCTGACTCCATAATTTATCTAAATATTATTCACATCTTTCAAATCATAAGTTAAAAATTCTCTTAAGGACTTTAGAATTATAATCTACAGGTATGTACATTCTTGGATTAAAAGGACTTTTGTATATATGTAGAATCACATTCACTGTAACAGACTAGTACGGTCAGCGCAAAATCAATCAGCTGACCAAATTTGTTTTTTCTTTTATAGCAGACAAAGGGGGACGTTAAAGGGCCCATATCCTACATTTTCTTGCATTTTATCCCCCCCACCCGAGGTCCACTTATGAACATGTGTGCTTTTATGCACCAAAAACAGTCATTATTCACTTTTTACAGTTTTCCAACCCCACGTCATTCCTCAAAACGAAACAGGCTGTTTTTAAAACTGTGTCTTTAAAGGGAAACTCCATCAAATTTTGAAAAATCCTTAATAATGAAACGGTTGAGACGTAAACAAAGTCGTTCAGAGTGGTTTGGTGTGAAACGCTCCGTTCTAGAGAAACTTTCCAAGTCAGAACTGTTCACAGTGGTGGTGAATCACCACCACTGTAAAATCTGAATCTGTTATTCTCTATAATGAATCGTTTCACTTCAAACCACTGTGAATGACTCCGTTTACATCTCCAAGACTAAATTTGTCAGAAATTTTGAAAAATTGGTGGAATTCCCCTTTATGACTGATATATGTAAATGAGCATTGTTCTGACTGGCATTCAAAAAGAATTCCAGGCTGAAGCACTCATAGCTTCAGCACAGATGGGCGGGGCTGAACTGATGTAGGATGAATAGGGGGATATACGTAAATGTGTTGGTTTTTGTGACATCACAAGAAACGATAAATTAAAACAGGCTGGCTGTGCAGTTTAGTCTCCGTATATGGACTGTATGGACCGTATGGACTGGAGAGCGAACGGTACGTTTGGAAAAAGCTTCAAATAAACGCGGCTGCATGGGGCAGATTTGATTAGAGCATTGATCAAAATCATAATAAAACAGCTTTGAGATTCTTCATGATATGGGCCCTTTAAAAAACCTTCAGCAGTGCCCTCCCCAGGCTCCTCCCACAAACGCATCCTTTCACAGCTAATCTCTGTCTGCTGCATCCACTGGGTCTGCTTATCCATGGCAATCAGGGGCGGAGCCTGGGGCAGTCAGGAGGCTCCGCCCACTCCACTTTGCTGGTATCAAATTAACATTGAACTGGTGATGAATTTAACATAAAGCTGGTCTGATCTCTGAAAGGAACAGTTATACCAATTATACAGATTTACAGCTTCATTTACATATTTAACTGAAGAACTTGTGACGTAAACGTTCAGCATCTGACCACTGACTTCATTACAGTGAGTTTTGAGTCAGACAGTGCGTTTACATGCACTCTATAATCCAATCATAATCTGATTTCTGCAGTTATCTGATTATTCAAATGGTCATGTAAACAGCACACTCTGATTTCTTAGATCAGAATAAGGTCCATTAAGAAATCCGATAAAGAGGCTGGATTTTAGCTCAGTAATCAGATTTCTCAGTGCTGTAAACTCTCTTACTCTGATTTCTTTCGTATTTCTCAGTCTGAGCATGTGCGAAAAAAAGACGGCGGTGCTGGAAATAAGCGAGCAGCGTCGGCAAGAGACGCAGCAAAACACTTCTGGAGTGACCCTGAAACAGAATATACGCTTGACGAAATGAAGGATTTAAATATTCTTTATCTTCTAGATGATGTATGTTAATATTTTCAGGTAAAGTGGGACGATGTTTAAAAAAAGCCACAGCATGAAGTTTGAGTTTTACATTACGTTTACGTCACGTCTTCTGTGAGTTTATTGGCTGGTTCCAAAGCAGAGATCTGATTACTGTCTGACTCATGTAGACCTGGAGTTCCCCATCATCTGATTACTCAAGTGCCTGTAAACGCATTGATCGGATTACTGACAAAATCTGATTCTCCGAAGTTCAGAGGAACGTGTTGAAGTTTCCATCTGTGATTACCGACAGTGCGACACAGATACAGCAGACAGAGATCAGGGTCAAAAACGCTGAATTAAACCCTTTAAATGCTTTTAAGTGATCCGATTAAACTGGCAGCAAAATTCTACAGTATTAAATGACATTGAATCCCACTGCATTACTGCATTACTGGTTTCTATAATCAAGCCAGAAGTTCAGTCTCACATTCATCACCTCTGTCTGTGCAGGAATGTCTAATACAGGCCAAACCGTCTCTGAGTCCAGTGTGGTGACCGTTAATTCTCCCTGATGAGCTGGTCCACCCTGATGGAACCTGTTACGTCATTATTTTAAGAACTTATTTTATAATCATATCAAACTGTCATGCTAGACAGCTGTTGAGCTGTTGGTGTTCGGCTGATGTACTCCGGTGTGGTCCCTCTTCACACTGGATGTAATATTTATTGATGAGTGTGACGTAATGTCTAATATCACGATATAAAATAAACACACAAATCTCTCTGCTGCTCTCTAAACTGTGCCAGGAAACACAGCGTAAAAAAAAAGTTTTAAAAAGAGAAAAAAATTTAATTAAATGATTATATGAAAAAGTGGGCCACTGTTGGTCCACTGAGGGCAAAGCTGGTGGTCCACTGGTGTTTTGCTCAGCGTTTTCTGGGCAGCCCACCAGTGTTTAATCAGAGTAACAGACAAAATTCCACTTATCATCATTTTCCACTCACAGTTTAATTTACTGATTTTTCCTTCCTTCCTTTAGTTCTACTTTATAAATTAGTTTAGTAAATAATGTTAATCCAGCACAGCAACATTTTCTATAAAATCATTTTATATAAGACCTTTTTCCTCTGAGTTGTCTGTAATATTTGTCTTTCTTTAGTTTCTAAAATAAAAGTCTCTGTGCATTTAAAATCTGTTTGAGGAGATTAAAAATAAGTTAGAGCTTGTATGCAGGACAGTAATCTGGGTCGTCTCGGACCAGCAGTGGCAACCAGTCAGTGGGGTGCCGACCTTATCAAGCCAGCGGACCGACATATGCTCCCTATCTGGGAAGTGTAGCTATGGATATTTTTTCAAAAACATTTTGGATGCTTAAGTACTCCTGTTTTTATAGATTAACACACACACACACACACATATATATATATATATATATATATATGTGACAGATAATAATGTTGCTTTCTAAGCTAAATGAGATAAAGGAAAGTGTGTAAACCTCACAGCTGCTTCTCTAAGCCCAGCAAAAACATCTTCATCTATAAGCGTCAGATGCTGCTGGAGTTTAGTGAATCACTGCTGTCAGAACAAAACATTCTTGGCTTTTAATGGAAATTAATAGAAAAATTCGTGTTTGTGTAAACAGTGTAGGTGACCACATGGGTGATTTCAGCCAATGGAACAACACCAATTACTCCAGGTGGACCAGCTCAGCAGGAGGTGGGGGACCACCACGGCCACCACAACGGCCTTTTAACGAAGGAGCCAAGCTAACAAAACAGAACGATTGGGATATGAACTTTAAACCTGGCTGTGATTGAACTCTCCTGCTGCCTGGCCCATATCGACTCTTCTGAAGGACAGATGTCTGCGCGGATGATTATCGTGGCCTCCGGCGCGCAGCGTTAACTCAGCAGAGTGGACTGGATAACCGACGTCTGCTCGGTACAGACTCTTTTTAAAGGTGGCGCTTCACAGCTTTCCTCATCCTCCTCCTCGTCCTCGTCATCCTCCTCCTGCACAGAAAAACAGAGATTTCTGTTAACATTTTATAATGAAAATCTGATTGAAGCCGTTGTAAAATACACCTGTTTCACTGCACCACCTCACAACAAACCCCTGTGACTCTCATGCTACTCACATGGAGCACCAAGTGTGCTGATGAAGTAAGAGGGGCTGACGGCTTATTTTCTTATCTAGAACTAGGCTGGTCAGCTAGCTAACAGCCTAAACAGCTCCATCTATAATATCACAGCCTTGAATTAAAGAGCTCACGATACGATTCACTGTAAATCTTTAATATTAAAGACTAAAGAATGAATCACTGGAATGTGTTGAGCCAGGCGTACACTGTGCGATTTCAGCCCGTTTTAAGCCCGATTTGGTCGGAGCCGACTGAATTTCATGATCGGGCCGAATTACAGCTTCATCAGCCGTCATTTGCCGTGCAGTGTGAGAGGGGAAATTATGTCCGATTAACTGGCCAAACGAGCTCCGACTGACCAGTCGGACGATTGGATGGATTTCTGAAATCTCACAGTCTGAGCAGCCTGACGAACCGATTCCTCAAAGTCGCACCCAAAACCTCACACAGTTAGAACCACCGCCCCAACATGGAGGCAATATTTGCAGGACCAGCATCCGTATATGACAACTTTGCTCCGTTTGACTGAGTTGAACTGGGAGGTATAAATAAATACAGTTTTTAATTGTCTTTGTAGAGCTGTCGGTCTGTAGAGCCACCTGCTCTTCAGCTTCAGCGCACAGTGTGGTACAAGTTAGCAAAGCTGTTGTAGCAGTTTGTCAATGGCTGATTCTGGCTTCTACACCAAAATAGTGCCCAGTTAGTCCAGTATGGAGCTGTGCACACACGGCTGAATCTCAGAAGGCTGTTTATTAGACATGTGACGCGCTTTATAGGAGCAGGAGCAGCTATTTTAATATGAAGTGCACTATGTAGGGAGCAGGGAGCCATTTGAGATCCAGCCAGTGTGAGCACCCATGTCGCGTCATGTCAGTTGGGCCGAGTGTTTCGTACAGTGTGAGCACATAAATCGCAGGCTTTGGCTGAACACAATGGGCGATTTAAATGTACAGCGTGAGTCACTAAAGAACAAGATTTCTAAAATCGCACAGTGTCTGCCTGGACGCTTCAACTGTCGTGTTTCAGTCAGAAGTCAAACCCAGGCTGAATCCCAAATGGCTCCATACTCCCTAAATAGTGCGCTAGGGCAGGGAGGCGGACCAAAGTGCAAAGACGAAAACCCGTGAGAAAGGGTGTTAAATTTATTGAGGCAATAGAGTGTGAATTTGGCTCATTGGGGTTGTACTGATGTACAAGGATGTACTGATGTACAAGGATGTACTGATCGGCGGTCCGTGGAGTTACCGCTGTGCCACCGGGAAGCACAGGCGACAACGGGTAAAACACCTGAAGGAGCGGGAAATAAAAAGGCGGGAAAAAGGGCAAACAAAGGAGACCCTGAAAGCAGCTCAAACAAAAGCTGAACTAGAAATGTAAAATAAAAGATAATCAGAAAACAAAAACGACCTCCTCTGTAATTATGAGGGGGAGGCAGACTTTATGTTTCACCTGTTTGCTCTTAGTGGTTCAAACACCTTTAGTATGGCTTGGAGCCGTTTGTAGCTCAAGCCTTCTTGTGGTTTTGGGGCAATTACTCTCTTTTGATTTTCCAGCCCTCTTTCCTTTTTGTTTTTCTTTTCTTTTTGTTTAAATACCCACCTGGGCTAAGTACCGTACCGATCACCCCTCTACAAATGTGTGACAAAGGGCTGCTGTTTGCCACAGCCTTAAGTAGAGGAGTCCACAGGTGTGCCAGGTTGGGCCTAATCAGCCCAAGGGCTTCTGGGAATTGGAGTTCCCTGAAGTTATGGCACTTCGCCAGCTGGGCACCTTGCCGCCGTCGCCCTCTGCTGGCGGCCGGCGGCACAGGCTGGACCCTTACATTAAGGTACACTAAAGGTAGAGCATGTTTTCTCCTTCTGACAAGTTCTAATTTTAGAGATATGAGGTTTTGTTCAACAGCAGTGAATTATTACTGGTTAGTATAAACCTTTTAAAACTTTAATTATCATTAACTGGATAATGTATAGAGCTGTGACTACATAATGCATTTAAAAAGATCTACTGTATTACACTTAAATAAATACATTTATTGAAAGAATTTACAGTGCTTTAGCTTTTTGTATGTCACAGCGTTAATAGTGAGTAATTCAAATTGCACTTATTAATGCAGAAGTAACAATTATACAATTATTAATTAACTATAACTAACAAACTATTAGACAGTGATTAGGTTGCTTTTTATTGGGGTCTGTTATTATGAAGTGACCCCACACATTTTAGTCGGTGTTACTAACTATGACTAAGTGAAGCAGATAAAGCTCATTGTGACCTGCTATCACCATAGCAACAGTAATAAGATAAAGCATCATCTTATTTAATTATATTTTGCAGAGTTAGTTCGTTACCTGAGCGCTGAGGGGTAAAATATCTTCTTTAATCAGCGTCGGCGGTTCGTCTGCCATCTCCCGCGGCTGCAGCGACGCTTCTGCACAAACAGAGTAAAAACGTTCTCACAAAAACCTGCGATATGAATAACTTAGATACGGTATTATATTAGGTCTTAGACTCAAATCAGCTATGTGCCACTTGCCAGGTGCTCTGGTTGAAAAATGTGGGTGAAAAAGTATCCCATATATTTTTTTTCCAAGAATTAATTTTAACTACATCATATATACACTCATTTATGCACATCTCAGTCAATGTTTATTAGCACATGTTCTGTCACCACATACCACAACAACTGCTACTGCTGCTAATTAGGTTATAATCATAATAATTATTATCGCATTAACAGCAGTACTAATCGCAGTAGTAGTCGCATAATAATTATTTTAGTGTTCAATTAAATCAAATGAACATTCATTCAACATGATTAATTGTAAGGGACTCTTATTTTGATAACACTGGTGTTCTTGCTGAATGTGAGTGAAGTTAGTGCAAGTTTTGAGCAGTTAATTCTGCATTTTTAGTGCATTTTTATAAAAACTCCATGCATTTCTTAACTGTGAGGCGATGATTTAACTAAATATCGCTCCAAATTATAAATATAGCTAAATTACAGTCAGTGTGCAGCTTTCATGCTGCATTAGATTTGCTTTTGAACAGTTTCTTTTCCACTCTATTCCTGCTTTTAATGTCATAATCATTGGTCTGAGCTGATTTAATATAGTTTTATGTGAGATTTGGGCACCCCCTGCTGGTCAGCTTACACATTTTGTTGATTTTCTAAGTGGGAAAAAACAACCTTGGCATACGACACATTTTTGCAAATTTCATACCATAAGTATTATGTATTTGTTAAATTTAACATAAAAAATATAGCATAAAATGATAAAATATGTGCAAACGTTTGAACACACTAAGTTGATCCACGAGTGTTTATTCAAGATCTTAGAGTTTATTTGACACATTAGGCCTTAATCACAGTCAGGTGTACACAATTCCAGAGCAACAACAAGTATGTGACCCTTAGACTTCTCAGGGTGTAAACACTGTTCCTGCTGCTACTTTTTACTGTCAGAAATGTCATTAAGAAATGGGTGTTAAGGAGAAGCGTGGAAGTCAGGACAACCAAGAAAAGTCTCTGAAAGAACAGCTCATAGCCTGGTCAGACATGCAAAGCAAAACCCCCACATCACTGCTGAGCTCCAGCCAAAAGCTACCTTAAAAGCTGTCCACCAGAATCTGGAACTTTATCAATTTTTCCTGCATTTTCAAACCAGTCCAATTTTGTGGGAAAATGGTGAACCTGGCAAAGCTGGTGCACTGGACCAGCAAAACCAATGTAAAGTAAAAGCATGTGATTCTACACATCCACCTCTTCTGTAGGCGTGCTTTTCTTTGATAAGAGTTCGTTTAGCTACGTTCACATTACAAGCCTCGTTGCTCAAATCTGATTTTTTGCTCAAATCCAATCTCTCTGACACGATGGTTCACACTCGTTTAGGTCAGTGATTCAAATCTGTCATTAATGTGACGAACTGGCGTCCTGAAATGACCCTCATGAGCTCATCCTACTCAGTAACGTCACGTGAATGAATCACGGTCATCATCAGCACAAACTAACGAGCAGAACGAGCTTCGCTGAGAAGATCATTAACTCTGATCAGCTCTCAGCTTCATTATTAGAGCGAGACGAAGGAGAAAAAGGTGAGATGAGCTGCTTTTCCACTGTTTACAGGCTTTATCTTCTGTTCGGCGCTGCAGTAACGCTGAATGACGGCGCGGTGGGAAAAAAAGCACATGAATTCTGATCTGAGCGTCACATTAAGGTCGCATGGCCACGAATCGGATACATATCCGATCTAGGACCACATATGAAAGTGGCTCAGGTTGGATTTGAAAAGATCAGATTTGTGTCCACACAGCCCTGAAAACATCAGATCTGAGTCACATTAGGGCAAAAAATCAGATTTGTGCCACTTCAGCCAACTCCACGGAGTGTAAATCTGGGCATGGATGGAACACAAATATTTACAAAGAGTTCTTAAGAGATCCAAAGGGGGTGTAATGGGGTGTAATTTACAGTGTAATGGTTTTCAAATTGAGCCCCAACTATAGTTCACTCTCCTTATAAATACTGCGTCCACTCACCCTCCATGCACTCCTGCCCCAATGTGGGCGGCTGAGGGTCGTCGGTGCGGTAATCCTGAGACTGGATGGCGGGGCTGACCGGCTCACTCGGCTGAGGACTCGAGTTAGTGCTGCTGTCCACCGTCGCGACCGCTTTCACCTGATACGAGTCCGACAGAGAGCTCTGGTTGCTGTTATCATCTAAAAAAACAAAACAGGAGACACAGAAGTGTTACACAGGACCGGAGAGGAGATGGTTACCTTTTCTCACACCGTCACACTTTTACTCACATAACAGAGACGAAAAGCATAACTGACATATTATAGTTGGTACCTTGATAGTCCAGGAGAGCCGGGCAGGAATTTTCAGACGTTTCCTCTGAGGGGAAACTGTCCAGCTGGATCTCTGAAGGAGCTGTGACTTTGGGCTTCTCCTTCTGCAGAGGAACATTTAGGAGATTTAAAGGGGAATTTCTGCATAATGAAATAGCAGAGTGGTTCAGAGGGGTTTGGTGTGAAACGCTCCGCACTAAAGAAACTTACCGAGTCAGAACTGTTCACAGTGGTGGTGATAGGAACCAGACGTCCACCTCTAAAAGCTCCCTCACAGAAAGTTCCTACATGAAATGGTTATGAATTCACTGCCTGATGACTGAGACACTGTTTTATGATAGTTTGGAGAACTTAAACTCCATTCATGGTGGAGGGATACATGCAAGGCGCTGTGAGGCAAAATAGTCCCCAAAGAAAACTTATTATTTCAGATTTTCCACTATTTTCCATCATCAACATTCCATATAAACTCAGAAGACTCGTGTAGGTTCACTGGTTGTTCTGGATAGTATATAAAATGTCTATATTTGTGTTGTAGTCATGGCGACCCCCTACATCTCACACACTGAATTATGGGGGGATTTTTTAAAAAATGGGTGGAATTCCCCTTCAAGCTCAGTATAACTCTCTTATACTGTAATGATCTTACAAAACATGCACTACAGGCCAAACGTACTGAAATAAGTTTCAAAAATATATCAGAGAAAACTTCGTATCTCCAAAATGGTGACTTTACAGGAGAAGGAAAAAACCTACTTTACTTTTAATGTAAGTCAATGGAACCAGAGTTTTTTCCAAGTCATTTTGGGTCGTTTCTTTTGGGCCATTCATCATGAAATTTACACACACTGTAAAGAACAACAGACATTTTCAAATTATGTCAAAAACTGAAAAAGGTTTTCTTCCGACAGCAGCGAAATACAATTCTACAATACAAAGTCACTTTTCCAGTAGGCAATACTTAAAACAGCCCGAACTGATCAACCATTTCACACCAAACCACTTTGAATGACTCTGTTTACATCTTGAAATTTTGAAAATTTGGTGGAATTCCCTTTTTATGGGTCTCAGACTTACCTCCTTCGTGTCCACCACAGGAACCCACTTGAATATTCTCAGAGACGTGTCTCCAACCGTCACCCACTTTTTCTCCCTGTTATAAAGAAGATAAAATTAATTAACAAATGACCAAACCACTGCAACCCAGCAGGTTCAAGAGAAGCATTACTAGAAACAGGGTAATGAAGAGGGACTTCAGACTCCTCTGACCACTGGTCATCCAACATCAACCAAATACAGTTGGGGAGGATGACGCTGAAGTCATTCAAACGTTTTTACTTCTTACTTTGCCACAAACAGAAAATGGACACTTTTAAGATCACATTTGACCGACAGCCGATTTGGTCAGACTCTGAAGATGAGACGACACTAAATTCCCAAACTGTCACTGAGCAGCTTTTCAGTCGGCAGCTGTGACAGAAGAACAGCTGAACAACCTGGAATCAGCCAGAAATGAACCCAACACCTTTCGCAAAACTAAATGGGCTGTAAGATGCTTTAGAGACTGGCTGGAACAAAACAACATTAATACTGATCTGGCAAAAACTGACAAAACTGAGCTGAACTTGATATTGCGGCAGTTTTATGGCTCAGTCTGTACTTCAAAAGGCGAGGCTTACAGCAGACTGAGCAGCGAGTGGGCGGAGCTCGTTACTCTGACGTAGCAACAAGCTGCTCGTTAAGGAACTATAATTTGGTGAAGGAACTGCGAACATTAAAACATATTAAACGCCGCGTTCACGGCCCAGTTTATTAATTTATTACTGTATTTATTTAACTGTTGTATTAAAGCAGTAGAACACTGGAGGAGTGTGTTATCACCAATAACATCACGGCTGTGATGATCTACGGCGACCAAATCACAGCCCTGATGTTATTTCGTGATAACACACTCCCTCTGTGTTCTACTGCTTTAATATATATATATATATATATATATATGCATGCACATAAATACACATACAAACATTTATACATACATACATACATCTACACTCTTCAAAAACGGTTCTTCAAGGGTTCTTTACTAAAGGGAAACTGTTCTATTTGGAGCCGTGAGCACCGTATGGAACCATTTTCAGGCTTAAATGGTTCTCTGCCTGGTGAAAGGGTCCTTAAGGCTGACGGAGAATGCGTTGTATATGGTTCTATACAGAACCTTTTTGAAAATGGTTCTATATGGCACCAAATAAGGCGCTACTGTCGCAATGTCAAGCTTGTAATGATGAAAACTCTTTTTGGTGCTATATAGAACCATCTACAACACATTCTCCATCAGTCTGAAGAACCATTTCACCAGGCAGAGAACCGTTTAAGCATGCAAATGGTCTTACACACAACTCATGGTTCTAAACAGAAATATTTAATGTACTAAAGAACCCTTGAAGAACCATCTTTTCTTTAAGGGTGTACACACTAGGGGGGGCTTGACCTCAGGTGGGCTACAGACCGTAACTGTACACCTACAACAGGTGTTTCTAATAAAGTGGCCAGCGTGAGATAGCTAATAAGAATATCATATATATATATATATATATATATATATATATATATATATATATATATATATATGTATATATATATAAAATAATACAATAAAGTGAATATACATGTGCATATTTACACTGCACACACAAATACATGTGTAAAAAAGTAAAGTTTATTAGAAAATAGCTCCATTAACCTCTTCAACTCCTTGGGACCTCCGGTGTTTCCAAAACGCACTTCGTCATATTCTTCATAACTTTCATATTTCATAAGCTACATTCTAAAGGTGGGGGTCGTATGAGAGCTGTAACTGTCTTCTTTCCAGTCAAATAGATGGGTGATGTAATTTTAAACCCTTATAATAAAAGAAGCTGAACTCAGTTTTTTCTCTACTGAAAGTCGACCCATTTTTCCACAAATCTGGGCTATAAACTATAAACAGATGGCGTCTCTTCAGTGATCTGCTCTGTAAACATTATTTTATAAATTAATACAAAGAGCGTCTAAGATTTTTGGCTTTCAGCAGTAAATTGTAAGCATATAGCGATATGTGTGATCATAAAACACACGTTCTGTTAATTTGAGGGGACTTTTATTATAAAATAAATTAAATAAAAATGTACATGTATTTCATGCAGTTACTAAATAATTTGCCTTACGATTTGGTCATGAAAATTCAGATGGACAAACCAAAATAGCCCGACGAGCATAAGAGGTTAAGGGTGTACACACTTTATTAGAGGGGGGCTTGACCTCAGGTGGGCTACAGACCGTAACTGTACACCTACAACAGGTGTTTCTAATAAAGTGGCCAGCGTGATATTACATAATAATAAGATAATAAAGTGAATATTAATGAATATTAATGAGCAGAACGCCGCTCCGCTAAACTGGCAGAAATAACGCACTCTTTTAAAACACCTTTATTTCAGCCCCGCCTCTTATTGACCTGCTCGTCTCCAGGGAAACAGGTTTACGTCTCTCGCCGATTGGCCGAGCCGCCCGTCCATCATCCTACATCCTCTTACTAAGCCCCGCCCCCGGTTCCTCTGAAGTTTCGGTAATGTTTCTCAGATCAATCAGCCGAAACTCACCATCGCCGCACGCGCTCTATGGCCGCCATCACCTTCTTGATGTCGTCCTTGGCGCGGCTCCGCGTCTCTGCGCGCGCCGAGCGGCCCGACATCGCCGATCCGACTTTACTTCACTTTCAGCTTCAGCGTCCACTTTCAGCTCGCGCTGAAACCGCGTCGCCCTCCGTCCGGCTCGCGAACCCTCCTCTCGCGAGACTCACCGCGGAGCCTTCGGGCCACGCCTCCTTCCGACACAGAGTCTCCGTTCGAAGAGTAATTTTATTTTTATTTATTTATTTATTAATGCATCAAACACATTTCTATAAATATTTTTTATTGAATACCTTTTTATTCATTGAATATCTGTGTTCATTTCCTAGTTATATTAATGATGTTTGTTTATCTGTACGCCTCGTATTTATTCATCTTTGCGGACAGGAACACAGTTAATTAATTATTTATTTATTTTACTCATTATATTTATTTATCTGATTTATTTCCATTTGTTTTTACGCTCCTCAGTTATTTTTTTTATTTTTTTTTGTAGATATTTTATTATAGAAGTTTTGTTTTATTCACGTTATTTGCATCACTGTAGTAACTGATCTCCTGTCGATCACATTTTCAGTCGTGGAAATTGTTTAAAACGTCTGTTCCCGCGCTATGATGTTAAACAGCGTGTTGAGTATTTATTTTTGGATTTTATCTCATTTAATTCCCCGAGTTTCGGCCTGAAGTGCAACGTCGGGGGTCTCTTTCAAAATAAAAGTCTCATTAGAAGCGAATGAAGCTCGGTCTTAAACGTGAATCGGCTCGAAACGCTGAATTAAATGGTTGTTATCGGGAAGCTTTTCACAGCAGGGTTTATACTTGGGTTGAATTTCTTATTATATTAATAACATTAACAATAATGAATAATAAAAATTGCCCACAGGTAAATGTTTAAGGGATAGATTTAACGCGGTACTTATTTACACAATTTGCACCTGACTGAAGCTAAACTGCTCAAACTTAAAGGTGAACTCCACCAACTTTTCAAAAATTTAGCATAATTAAATGTTTAAGATGTAAACACAGTGGTTCAGAGTGGTTTGGTGTGAAACGCTCCGTTCTAGATAAACTTGCCGAGTCAGAACTGTTCACAGTGGTGGTGATAGGAACCAGACGTCCACCTCTAAAAGCTCCTCACAGAAAGTTACTACATGAAATGGTTATGAATTCACTGCCTGATGACTGAGACACTGTTTTATGATAGTTTAGAGAACGTAAACTCCATTCATGGTGGAGGGATACATGCAGGGCGCTGTGAGGCAAAATAGTCCCCAAAGAAAACTTATTATTTCAGATTTTCCACTATTTTCCCTCATCAACATTCCATATAAACTCAGAAGACTCGTGTAGGTTCACTGGTGGTTCTGGATAGTAAATAAAATGTCTATATCTGTGTTGTAGTCATGGTGACCCCTGGTTCCTATCACCACCACTGTAAAGACATCTGAACCATTTCACACTAAACCTCTCTGAATCACTCTGATTACAGCTCACACACTGAGTTATGAAAAAAATTGTAAAAATCAGTGGAATTGCCCTTTAACCTAACACACAGTTCAAGTAAGGCAAAAGGGAAAACTTCACTCAAGAAGTTTTGTGTGCACAGTTACTGGACAACTTTCTTATTTAGCAGCTGAAAAAAATCTTAGCATTCAATAATAAAAAAGAGACAAAATCATTTTGGACTGATTTATTTATTAAAACCAAGACGCCAAAACAAATCAACTGCAAACACAAAACCAACAGGCCTGTACTCCTGTAAATGAAGGCAGTGCGGGACCGAGGTGAGTCTTCGCCTCCTCAGCTCTTCTGTGTGCTGAGCAGGGCGTCCAAGGCTTTCTGTGCGTCCAGCAGCTGCTGCTGCAGCCTCTGCCTCACTCCGTCGTTCGCGGCCTTCTTCAGCATGGCCTGCATGTCCTGGACGGCGGCGCGGTAGCCAGTGATGTTGTGGAAGACGCGGATGGCGCGGTCGCCGCTACAGACCAGGAAACGGTTATTAACGTCAAACTTAAGGTCAGTTATGTCCTCGCTGTGGACGCTGTGAAACTCCTCCTCAAGCTGGCCAGACACGGCACTGTACACGGCCACGTCACGGCCGCTAGATACGGCCACGGCGCGGCCGTCCGGAGACAGAGCGATCCGGCTCCCCTCCGAAACCTGACAGGGAACAGTCCGCAGCAGGTAGGGGTCCTGCTGCTTCTTATACTCCACATCGGTGTCCCACAGCTTCCACGTCCCGTCTTTAGACACCGTCACCATCCTGTAAACACACAGCAGAGTGACTTCACTGCACACGCTCACTGCGCATTCACCAACTATAATAATAACAATAATAATAATAATGATAATCTATAGCGAGAGATTTTGCCTTTTATATATTCATGAAATTATCTTCAAAATCCTCATTTAGGCTGTACATTACAATCAGAATCCACCACAGTCAAAATACTCACTTCTAACACATTTTTATTTTTCCCCTGTTTTAATTCCCCTATTAATATTTTCATTTCCATTATTGCACATTTTATTAATTTATTTCTCCTTTTTATTTATTAATGATTTTTTTCTTATTGATTTCTATCTATACTGTGTTTTCAATCTCATTTTATTCACATTTATTCTCATAATTATTATTTCTAAATATAATTTGACTATATTAATATATTATTATTCCTAATACTTAACCTATTACACCATGACATACAAATCATTGTTATTCTTACTATTGTAAAAACTGACATAAATACTACTACTATTAATGATATTAATAAGAATAAAATAATAATAATAATCAATCCTATGTAATCATACAGATTTTAATAATAATAATAATAATAATAATAATATTTTCTATTCTATCATATTCTTAATGTGATGTTCTCTGTGATTTTACATTTCTATTAAACTTTTTCTTTCTTCACCTCAAAAACATAGAGCTGCATTATGTGTATGAAAGGTTCGATACAAATCCAGCTTATTATTATTAGTTTTATTGGTGATCTTTTCTAATTTTATGTCGTTTCTGATAAAATGGCCATTGAGTGTTTCCAATAAAGTGGCCACTTTTCCATACTGCGGTCCTGATGAAAATGACTTGTGATGATGGTGATGATGTAATACAGTCTGCGTGTCTGTTTAGGCTGCGGGAGCGTCTTGCCTGCGGGAGTCGTTGGAGAAGTCGAAGGAATAAACTCCGGCTGAGTGACCCTTCAGGTCAAAAGCGCGAGTGACCTCTTTAAACTCGCCCGTCTTGGCAAAGCAAACCTCCCACACTTTCACATCTGGAGTGAAGCCACAGGAGGCCACGAACCTGAAACACAAACACACTCACTGTAAACAAAACACAGCTGTTTATTCCGTCATGATTCCTCAATTAAACACTGATTGATTCTTAATAAGTCTGCGTATTATGAAAAGGCTGTTTTAAATCTCTGCTCTCTCTCAGAGTAAGAAACAGCCTAAGGCAGAGGTCATTAATAGGTGGACTGCGGTCCGAGTCCGGACCCAGACGCTGTCCTATGCGGACCTGGACCTATAACCCATAAACTATGGAGATCTATTTAATTTGATGGGGTGGTCCTGTTTTAATCAGCATAACTTTTCTAGACTTTACGGTAGATTTAGCGGCCCAGGAGACTCACAGACCAATCACACGCATTGTAAATATCACGTGATGCTACTCAGCCAATCAGATCTGTGCATTACGATGAGCACTGAGACTCGAGTGAGTGAGGCACACACAGGAAAGAAGAGGCGAGACACAGCAGTCGGAGAAGAAATGAGTCAGAGGGAAGTTATTTCACATGTCGTGATCTAAAAAGAGAAAACTGACAATAAACATTGTTGAAATATGACTGAACTGTACTTTATTTGATTTGATATTCAGTTGTTGACCGTATAAGATGTTGATATACCTACTAGGCTACTTCAGTCTTCAGGTCCGTCTCTATTCTTCTTCTTTAAAAACTAAAACTGATGGAGGATCTGATGAATAATGTTGTCAACGGGGACGAAACAATAAGCGCATCACATTATATCAAACGGTACTGCAGCGTTCATGTTATATTGTACTGCGAATCGAGTTATGAACTAACCTAACACCCTCAGTGGCAGCCCTAATTACAGTCGTGTGCAAAAGTCTGTGCACTCCCGGTCAAACTGCATGTTTTCTAAATGTGAATAAGTTAACACGTCCCCTACAGAGACCCTGTCTGCACAGTTTAATGCACAGTTATTGTTCATTAGCTGAATGTAACATATGTGGGAAAGATAAATAAATAAATAAATAGATAAATAAAAACCAAAAAAAGTGGCCTGTGCAGAAGTTATAGTACATTTACTCAGCAAATAGAAACTGAGCACAAACATCAGCAGAAAATATTTAAGTGGATTTGTTTACTTTCACTTAGTAAATCAACAACATGCAATCTGACCTGGGGGGCTAAAACTATTGCATACGACCATCTATCACGATTTAAAAGTTTATTCAATATGAAATGGAGCACGACGAGCTCTTTCTGAAACGGAGAGAGAAGTGAGGCGTCTGCTCACCGTCCACAGGGGGAAACAGCAGCGTACGAGTTGGTCATCTGGTTGGTGTTGATGGACGCTAAAACTTCCCCCTTCAGATCCCAGATCAGGATGGTGGTGTCCACAGACGCGGTCATGATAAACTTGCCTTTAACAGAGCAGAAGACGGAAGTCTGTGAAACAGTTTTAGCCCAACAGCTTTGCACTTTTCATCACTGTACCCATCACTGCACTGACCACCCGTTGCTAAGCAACAACCACGATCGCTTTACTATTTTACAATGACAGATGTTGATTTTTCTGGGAGTCAGAGACGCTGAATATCTCCTTGTTGAAGTCCAGGCGCTCAGTATTAGAGTGTCCTCCTGCCTACTTCCACCTTCAGTTAGCAACAGCCACTTTGACTGCCGCCTTAAACGAACAGTAAACACTGCGACTGCCGCCTTAAATTAACTATAAACACTGCGACTGCCGCCTTAAATTAACAATAAACACTGCGACTGCCGCCTTAAATTAACAATAAACACTGCGACTGCCGCCTTAAATTAACAATAAACACTGCGACTCCCGCCTTAAATTAACAATAAACACTGCGACTGCCACCTTAAATTAACTATAAACACTGCGACTGCCGCCTTAAATTAACTATAAACACTGCGACTGCCGCCTTAAATTAACAATAAACACTGCGACTGCCGCCTTAAATTAACAATAAACACTGCGACTGCCGCCTTAAATTAACAATAAACACTGCGACTCCCGCCTTAAATTAACAATAAACACTGCGACTGCCACCTTAAATTAACTATAAACACTGCGACTGCCGCCTTAAATTAACTATAAACACTGCAACTCCCGCCTTAAATTAACAATAAACACTGCGACTCCCGCCTTAAATTAACTATAAACACTGCGACTGCCGCCTTAAATTAACTATAAACACTGCGACTGCCGCCTTAAATTAACTATAAACACTGCGACTGCCGCCTTAAATTAACTATAAACACTGTGACTCCCGCCTTAAATTAACTATAAACACTGCGACTGCCGCCTTAAATTAACTATAAACACTGCGACTGCCGCCTTAAATTAACTATAAACACTGCGACTGCCGCCTTAAATTAACTATAAACACTGATTTCCACTTTAAATTAACAGTAAACACTGATATCCGCCTTAAAAGAGCTACTTTTAAATGAATTACTTTTATGGGTGAAAGAAATAATATCACTCTTTATCTTTACTGAGTAAACCTGTTATAAAGCAGTGAAACAGTGAAGGAGGTGAGTAAATCACAGCTGTGCTGATATTTAACCTCCTCCAGCTCTACAGTCCAGCTAAAGGCAGTGCGGACCGAACCGAACCTGTCTCCGCGATTCCGATGTTGATGACGATCCCTTTGTGTCTCTGGGGAAAATCCTCCGGAGCAGCTTTAAAACTGAACGTGCCGTCCTCCTTCTTCGTCATCTTGAAGATACGAATCGTCTCCCCGTTGGCCAGCCAGGTGATGAAGGCACTAAAGGACCAGACCAGACAGAACAGGACACTGCAGTATTACAGCACAGGCAGCAGTGTCTACACTACACAGGGTAGGGTTTCTAATAAAGTGTCCAGTTAGTGGAAGCACTAGGTGGGTGTTTCTAATAAAGTGGCCAGTTAGTGGAAGCACAAGGTGGGTGTTTCTAATAAAGTGGCCAGTGAGTGGAAGCACAAGGCAAGTGTTTCTAATATAGTGGCCAGTTAGTGGAAGCACAAGGCAGGTGTTTCTAATATAGTGGCCAGTTAGTGGAAGCACTAGGCAGGTGTTTCTAATAAAGTGTCCAGTGATTTATGTATATGCGTATACAGAGAGATCCAGTCTGACAGCAGGAGTGAAAAAGCTTCTATTTTGCTCTCTTTAATTAGAAATGATATTAACAGCATAACAACTTGAGTGAAATGAACTGTTTAAATCTTTCTTTTGTCCCTCTTTCGCTTTAATGACGACATGCAAGTTGAGCAACAAGTTAAACTGAGCAGATCAAACACACCTAAGAGTCATTTGAGCTTCATTGGCAGAGATAAGACTCAACCTTTCTGTCTAACGGCTTTAACACGCAAATTAAATATGAATAGTTTCCTCTTTTTCTTAGTTTGAATTTGTTTAATATTAAAATTCCTGTTTATTTCCAGGTTCAAATAAAACAAATCCCACATCTTCAGCTTGTTGTTTTGGAGCCCACTGTATTTTAGTGTGATATAATAAATGTAATTCAGCGTCTTCTTACCGAGAATCTGGGCTGAACCGGACGAGCGTGGCGTGGTCCAGCTCTATGTTTGCCCGCAGACATTTATGGTCACGCTCCAGGAAGTCTTTGGTGCTCCAGATGCGGACGGTGCGGTCGTCTGCGCAGGAGGCCAGATATTTACCGTTACTGCTGAAATCCAGACACGTTACGCTGCCACTGTGACTCTGAGACAAAGCAGACAGACAGAAAAGCAGGAGTTAATAACGTGGAATCAAGTTTTTAATGAGATGAACGCATATTCAAATCAGGGCTGTCACAATTAGACTTGATTGTTTTTTTAAACTGAATAATCAAACTGTACATTCTGTGAACTGAACTGTGTATTTACATGCTAATGCATATTTCAAATCCTGTTTACTCTATCAATCAATACCATCAGCACTAAGCACTAAACACAACGACACTCACTTTTAGCCTAAAGAACTGAGTAATAAAGCAAACTGTAGCAGCGGAAATGTGATAATGTGCTGATTACCAGTCCAAAGAGCATTGTTTCATACTTGCATGCAAGGGGAACTCCACCAATTTTTCAAAATTTCTGCATAAATAGATGGTTACGATGTAAACAGAGCGGTTCAGAGTGGTTTGGTGTGAAACACTCTGTTCTAGATAAACTTACCGAGTCAGAACTGTTCACAGTGGTGGTGATAGGAACCAGACGTCCGTCTCTAAAAGCTCCCTCACAGAAAGTTCCTACATGAAATGGTTATGAATTCACTGCCTGATGACTGAGACACTGTTTTATGATAGTTTAGAGAACTTAAACTCCATTCATGGTGGAGGGATACATGCAGGGCGCTGTGAGGCAAAATAGTCCCCAAAGAAAACTTATTATTTCAGATTTTCCACTATTTTCCATCATCAACATTCCATATAAACTCAGAAGACTCGTGTAGGTTCACTGTAATGAAACCTGAGTCTCTACAGTGAACTATTTCACATCAGATCACTCTGAATGACTTATGAGATGAAATTTTGGTGGAATTCCCCTTTAGCAGAGACGCTGGCAGTACAAACGTAGCTCTGGTATGACTGAAGCGCTGGCTGTCAGAAAATGAGGTTTACCTTCAGCGAGGATGCGAGGAGGTGGTGGGAGAACGTGTGCTGCTGGAGTTTCTCCTTCCGCTGCTGCTGTTTGAGCTTCTTAGAGGAGGGAGCTTTCACTGAGCTCTCTTCTACAGGGAGTGAAGAGCACAGTGAGACAGAGAGGTGGGCAATGGTTTAAGGTGGAACCTTCCATTCCGCCTTAAACGGTGCAGCTGTTTTATCATTATCATATTTTGTTTTTATCGTGATAAATTATGCCACAATATGGTTTTTACTGATTCATTCATTTACTGTGTGCAGTAACACAGATACTGTAAACAACATACAATATTCAATATACATCATGTTATAAAGGAATCACTGAAAATTACACAGTAATTTCATCTGTGTTTCAGTACAGAGTGAGCGTAATTAGGCCTGTTTAACTGTATTTAGTGCAGCGTTGTTTGCAAAGCAGTGAATAAAAATCATTGTAGTTCTAAGTTTATTATTTTTACTATTATAGCATTTTTATTTTTGGCACAACAGGCTTTATCCTGTCTGTTCCAACTTAGTAAATCTCAGAAAAAATTCATATTGTGAAAGTGTCCTGGGTGTTTCTAATAAAGTGGCCAGTTAGTGGAAGCACAAGGTGGGTGTTTCTGATAAAGTGGCCAGCGAGTGGAAGCACAAGGTAGGTGTTTCTAATAAAGTGGCCAGTTAGTGGAAGCACAAGGTGGGTATTTCTAATAAAGTGGCCAGCGAGTGGAAGCACAAGGTGAGTGTTTCTAATAAAGTGGCCAGTGAGTGGAAGCACACGGTGGGTGTTTCTAATAAAGTGGCCAGTTAGTGGAAGCACAAGGTGGGTGTTTCTAATAAAGTGGCCAGTTAGTGGAAGCACAAGGTGGGTGTTTCTAATAAGTGGCCAGTTAGTGGAAGCACAAGGTGGGTGTTTCTAATAAAGTGGCCAGTTAGTGGAAGCACAAGGTGGGTGTTTCTAATAAAGTGGCCAGCGAGTGGAAGCACAAGGTAGGTGTTTCTAATAAAGTGGCCAGTTAGTGGAAGCACAAGGTGGGTATTTCTAATAAAGTGGCCAGCGAGTGGAAGCACAAGGTGAGTGTTTCTAATAAAGTGGCCAGTGAGTGGAAGCACACGGTGGGTGTTTCTAATAAAGTGGCCAGTTAGTGGAAGCACAAGGTGGGTGTTTCTGATAAAGTGGCCAGTTAGTGGAAGCACAAGGTGGGTGTTTCTAATAAAGTGGCCAGCGAGTGGAAGCACAAGGTGGGTGTTTCTGATAAAGTGGCCAGTGAGTGGAAGCACAAGGTGGGTGTTTCTGATAAAGTGGCCAGTTAGTGGAAGCACAAGGTGGGTGTTTCTGATAAAGTGGCCAGTTAGTGGAAGCACAAGGTGGGTGTTTCTGATAAAGTGGCCAGTTAGTGGAAGCACAAGGTGGGTGTTTCTAATAAAGTGGCCAGTTAGTGGAAGCACAAGGTGGGTGTTTCTGATAAAGTGGCCAGTGAGTGGAAGCACAAGGTAGGTGTTTCTAATAAAGTGGCCAGTGTACACCTGGATTTAGTGTAGCGTAGTTTGTAAAACAGTGAGTAAAAATCACTGTAGGTTTATTATTCTTATTATTATAATTATAATATTTCTTATATTTGGCACAACAGGTTTTATCTTGTCTGTTCCAACTTATTAAATCTCACAAAAATGCATAATGTGTATCGTGAAAGTGCCCTTAAATATCATGATATAATATATTCTGACATATCGCCCGCCCCTAGTTAAACAGTCATGCAGTTTAAGAGATTTTTGCCTGGTCTGTTTTAAACTTGGTCCAAATCCATACGGTGCACTGATCTACAGAAAGACGGGAGACTAAAACCAGCTCAGAGTAAGAGCTATTCAGTGGAAGGACTTAATCAGGAGTAAAAGGTGCTACCAAAGACAAACTCGTGTAAAATAGCTACTTAAAGCAGCACTATGGAATATTTTTCGTTAAAACCAAATGAAGTGTCATTACTGAGTGTGAAGAAAATAGAACACACTAAAATATGGTGAGCGTGCCCTGCAGCGAGTCGCCCTGTAAAGCCTGAATTTATCATTAAAAAAAAAAGGTCCGGCTCGATGTTCAGGTCTCAAATGATCTCAAAGTCAACATCATACTGGTGAAGATGTGATGACAGTAGTAGATAATTCACTCACATCCTCAGAGACGCTCCTTCACCAAGATTACACTGAATCCTCTCTGATTCTCTTTCAACTCGCTTGCAAAAGTCAGATTCATCCGCTCGTGGGGGTCCGAAGCAAAACTGACGTTACAAAATGTTCTGCATGCAGTTACTCATTTCCACCAGAGAGGGCTCCAAATCCCTAAACCCTACATAGTGCTGCTAGTGTACTTAGTACCTTCTAGAACTGCAGTGGAATGTCTTAGTACATCTAGAACCCATCAGCACAGAAACTTGGCTTCTTTTTCGAATTTTCCGTTCCAGCTTAAGCAGCATAGCTGCTACATTCTAGTGCCTCAGCCTCATTTCTTTACAGTGGTGGTGATAGGAACCAGGGGTCGCCATGACTACAACACAAATATAGACATTTTATTTACTATCCAGAACCACCAGTGAACCTACACGAGTCTTCTGAGTTTATATGGAATGTTGATGATGGAAAATAGCGGAATATTTTTCGTTTTCCTAGAGTAAATCTGTGCATCGTGCATCAGCGTATTTCTAACTAGGGGTGGCCAATATGAAAATATGTTATTGCAACATGATAAACTGTCATAATACACCATGATCTACTTTCCTGAGCTGCTCAGAACTTAAAGAACACTAAGTGACTGAATGCTTTATTAAAAAGAGAACTTTATTAATCCTGTTTAACTGAATTTGTGCAGCACAGAATGTGAAGAACTGCAAAAGCTCAGAAAAACACAATACTGTGATTATATAGTGTATCGTGAACATTTATTGGAGTACTGTGATGGTTTTCCCCATAACTCCCACTTTCTTTAAGGGTTCTTTAGTAAAGGCAATAGTTCTATTTAGAACCATAGGTTCTATAAAGAGCCATTCCATGCTTAAATGGTTCTCTGCACAATAAATGGTTCTTCAGACTGATCCATATACAACACATTCAAAAGGGGTTCTTCTGTTGTAAGCTCGCCATGGTAACCCTTTGTTGGTGCTATACAGAACCATTTTCAAAAAAAGGCTCTATAAAGAACCATATACAACACAATCTCCAACCATCTGAAGAACCACTTCACCATGCCCAGAACCCAAATGGTTCCAACACCTAGCTCTAAACAGAAACATTTCCTTCACCAAAGAACCCTTGAAGAACCTTTTTTTAGTGTGAATTTAACCGCTGTAGGAACTTTCTGTGAGGGAGCTTTTAGAGGTGGATGTCTGGTTCCTATCACCACCACTGTGAACAGTTCTGACTCGGTAAGTTTCTCTAGAACAGAGCGTTTCACACCAAACCGCTCTGAACCGCTCTGAACCACCCTGTTCACATCTGAACCAGTTAATTCTGCAGAGAATGTTGGAAAGTTGGTGGAGTTCCCCTTTACTGCTCTAGAGTAACCCCCTGCAGGCGGCGCTGTTGCGCGGTGTGTTCTGGTCGGCGCTGAGTCTCACCTGGTTGCGCTGCTGTTGGTGGCGGTTTGTTCTGATCGGTTTGATCGGATCCTTCGTTTTTCCTAGAAACAGCAGCGAACACGAGCGCGAGGAGCGCCCCGAGCAGCAGGGAGAGCGCGAGCACAGCCCAGAACTCCATCATCACGCGCGCGCACACGCACTCACTCACGCACTCACTCACTCACTCACTCACTCACATTCACTCACATTCACACTCTCTCTCTCTCTCTTTCTGGCGCGTGCGTTGCACTAATTGCAGTAAACAGAAAATAATTATAATAATAACCGCTGTCTAGTTGCGCTCGCGCTGCAGTCGTGTACCGTGCTGACTTGTCAGAGATGTTCTTCAGAGCTTCGCAGCGCAAAACCGAGTAGCGCTCGTTACCGCCCCCTGCCGGACTGGAGGAGAGCTGCCACCCAGTAATGCGCTCCGGGTTTGTCGAACACTAGAGGCGCCACCGAGTGGATCCGAATGAATGTGGGGCTTTTGAGCAAAATCACAGTTGGTAAACATTTTATAGAAGAATGTATTCATTAATTAACTGTGTAATAACACAAAACACTCCAGCACTGCTGTTATATTTTCAGCTCCAGTTAGAGGCCTTTATAACGGCGCCTCATGTAGGTTCACTTCAGCCAATGAGCTGCTGGCTGATGTTGAATATATACGTCTGTAGTTTATCTTTAATATGGATGTCCTTGTTAGTAATATTATATATTAAAAGCCATTGAGCTGCTCAGCTCGCCAACCAATCAGTGCTCAGTAGCAGTAACGCTAACCAATCAGCCCTCAGTAACAGTAACGCTAACCAATCAGCGCTCAGTAACAGTAACGCTAACCAATCAGCACTCAGTAAAAGTAATGCTAACCAATCAGCGCGCAGTAGCAGTAACGCTAACCAATCAGCACTCAGTAGCAGTAATGCTAACCAATCAGCGCTCAGTAACAGTAACGCTAACCAATCAGCACTCAGTAAAAGTAACGCTAACCAATCAGCGCTCAGTAACAGAAACGCTAACCAATCAGTGCTCAGTAGCAGTAACGCTAACCAATCAGCACTCAGTAAAAGTAACGCTAACCAATCAGCACTCAGTAGCAGTAACGCTAACCAATCAGCTCTCAGTAGCAGTAACGCTAACCAATCAGCGCTCAGTAACAGTAACGCTAACCAATCAGCGCTCAGTAACAGAAACGATAACCAATCAGTGCTCAGTAGCAGTAACGCTAACCAATCAGCACTCAGTAAAAGTAACGCTAACCAATCAGCCCTCAGTAACAGTAACGCTAACCAATCAGCTCTCAGTAGCAGTAACGCTAACCAATCAGCACTCAGTAAAAGTAACGCTAACCAATCAGCGCTCAGTAACAGAAACGATAACCAATCAGTGCTCAGTAGCAGTAACGCTAACCAATCAGCACTCAGTAAAAGTAACGCTAACCAATCAGCCCTCAGTAGCAGTAACGCTAACCAATCAGCCCTCAGTAACAGTAACGCTAACCAATCAGCCCTCAGTAGCAGTAACGCTAACCAATCAGCCCTCAGTAACAGTAACGCTAACCAATCAGCACTCAGTAAAAGTAACGCTAACCAATCAGCACTCAGTAGCAGTAACGCTAACCAATCAGCCCTCAGTATCAGTAACGCTAACCAATCAGCTCTCAGTAGCAGTAACGCTAAACAATCAGCACTCAGTAAAAGTAACGCTAACCAATCAGCCCTCAGTAACAGTAACGCTAACCAATCAGCTCTCAGTAGCAGTAACGCTAAACAATCAGCACTCAGTAAAAGTAACGCTAACCAATCAGCTCTCAGTAACAGTAACGCTAACCAATCAGCACTCAGTAAAAGTAACGCTAACCAATCAGCGCTCAGTAACAGAAACGATAACCAATCAGTGCTCAGTAGCAGTAACGCTAACCAATCAGCACTCAGTAGCAGTAACGCTAACCAATCAGCCCTCAGTAACAGTAACGCTAACCAATCAGTGCTCAGTAGCAGTAACGCTAACCAATCAGCACTCAGTAGCAGTAACGCTAACCAATCAGTGCTCAGTAGCAGTAACGCTAACCAATCAGCACTCAGTAGCAGTAACGCTAACCAATCAGCGCTCAGTAACAGTAACGCTAACCAATCAGCACTCAGTAGCAGTAACGCTAACCAATCAGCACTCAGTAGCAGTAACGCTAACCAATCAGCACTCAGTAAAAGTAACGCTAACCAATCAGCAGTCAGTAAAAGTAACGCTAACCAATCAGCACTCAGTAGCAGTAACGCTAACCAATCAGCACTCAGTAAAAGTAACGCTAACCAATCAGCGCTCAGTAACAGAAACGCTAACCAATCAGTGCTCAGTAGCAGTAACGCTAACCAATCAGCACTCAGTAAAAGTAACGCTAACCAATCAGCACTCAGTAGCAGTAACGCTAACCAATCAGCTCTCAGTAGCAGTAACGCTAACCAATCAGCGCTCAGTAACAGTAACGCTAACCAATCAGCGCTCAGTAACAGAAACGATAACCAATCAGTGCTCAGTAGCAGTAACGCTAACCAATCAGCACTCAGTAAAAGTAACGCTAACCAATCAGCCCTCAGTAACAGTAACGCTAACCAATCAGCTCTCAGTAGCAGTAACGCTAACCAATCAGCACTCAGTAAAAGTAACGCTAACCAATCAGCGCTCAGTAACAGAAACGATAACCAATCAGTGCTCAGTAGCAGTAACGCTAACCAATCAGCACTCAGTAAAAGTAACGCTAACCAATCAGCCCTCAGTAGCAGTAACGCTAACCAATCAGCCCTCAGTAACAGTAACGCTAACCAATCAGCCCTCAGTAGCAGTAACGCTAACCAATCAGCCCTCAGTAACAGTAACGCTAACCAATCAGCACTCAGTAAAAGTAACGCTAACCAATCAGCACTCAGTAGCAGTAACGCTAACCAATCAGCCCTCAGTAACAGTAACGCTAACCAATCAGCTCTCAGTAGCAGTAACGCTAAACAATCAGCACTCAGTAAAAGTAACGCTAACCAATCAGCTCTCAGTAGCAGTAACGCTAAACAATCAGCACTCAGTAAAAGTAACGCTAACCAATCAGCTCTCAGTAACAGTAACGCTAACCAATCAGCACTCAGTAAAAGTAACGCTAACCAATCAGCGCGCAGTAAAAGTAACGCTAACCAATCAGCTCTCAGTAAAAGTAACGCTAACCAATCAGCACTCAGTAAAAGTAACGCTAACCAATCAGCTCTCAGTAAAAGTAACGCTAACCAATCAGCTCTCAGTAAAAGTAACGCTAACCAATCAGCGCGCAGTAAAAGTAACGCTAACCAATCAGCACTCAGTAAAAGTAACGCTAACCAATCAGCTCTCAGTAACAGTAACGCTAACCAATCAGCACTCAGTAAAAGTAACGCTAACCAATCAGCCCTCAGTAACAGAAACGATAACCAATCAGTGCTCAGTAGCAGTAACGCTAACCAATCAGCACTCAGTAGCAGTAACACTAACCAATCAGCACTCAGTAGCAGTAACGCTAACCAATCAGTGCTCAGTAGCAGTAACGCTAACCAATCAGCACTCAGTAGCAGTAACGCTAACCAATCAGCACTCAGTAGCAGTAACGCTAACCAATCAGCGCTCAGTAACAGTAACGCTAACCAATCAGCACTCAGTAGCAGTAACGCTAACCAATCAGCACTCAGTAGCAGTAACGCTAACCAATCAGCACTCAGTAAAAGTAACGCTAACCAATCAGCAGTCAGTAAAAGTAACGCTAACCAATCAGCACTCAGTAGCAGTAACGCTAACCAATCAGCACTCAGTAGCAGTAATGTTACATGAACTTTGTCACTTTATCATCACTGTATTAGCTTTATGTTACCTGTATAAGCTGCATGCATTTTGTATAAGTAATATTAACTGTATATTTCATATCAGCTCTATAATCTTTATCAGCTTTATATTAGATTATCTGTGAGCTGATATAAAGCTGGAGCTCTGGGTGAAGATTTATATAAGCTAAATTACACTAAACGTACTCAAGTAAAGCTTCATACAGGATCAACCAAGCTTTGATCATTTATAGCTAATGAATGTGAAAACACCAGTAGTGGATATTATGAGTTCTATGGTAAAATACTTGTATGTTGCTGTTGTCGGAAGAAAACCTCATTTTTCAGTTTATGAAATATTCTGGAAATGTCTGTTGCTCTTTACATTGTGTGTAAATTTCATGATGAATGGACAAAAAGAAACGGCCCAAACTGGCTTGCTTCTCCTGTAAAGTTACTACTTAGGAGATACGAGGTTTTGATCCGACAGCAGTGATTTATTAGCTAATAACAGTGAAAGTGCTGCTAAATGACAGTGTCAGTATTTTGTAGTACAGATTTATATATCTAAGCCAGTCTGTGATAAGTTTGCATGTGATATTCTAATAAATTCACATCCAGGCAGTGACTGAGGAATTTTAGTTTATTTTGAAGCTACCTGGTTTGAAAAAAAAAAAACTTCGGTAAAAAAAATTCTTTATCCCAGTTAGACAGTTTCACATTTATATTCTATTCTTCTATTTCATAGCTTTTACAAAAACAACTTCTCTTTTCCTCCCGTAACTGAAATACTCCATGTAATATAGCAACATCTTGTGGGATGAATCATGACGTACAGTTCAGAACTGCTTCTTAAACAGCTGAGACACAAACGCATTCGCACCTTTTCCTCTCTTTCTGTCCGAGGCAGCCAAAAACAAAACACACAAAGCTTTGGTTTACGTTCAGATGCAAGAGATGATGCTGATTTGAGATTTGATTGAAGATTTTTCCAGCAGAAATGACAGAACTGAATAGTCTCTGTTAAACTGTTACTTCATTCTCCACCATACAGTTCAATACATTATTCTCTTTCAGCAACTTAAACATTTTACAGTTAAAAAGACACCTCTGGCTTTCTGGAGTCGCCTGATCCAGCACAGTTTAGTACTTCTGTAACACGTCTTTCAGTGCAGGAGCAACATTCCTGCATAATTCAGTGTGTGAGGTGTAAACAGAGAGATTCAGAGTGGTTTGGTGTGAAATGGTTCAGATGTCTTTACAGTGGTGGTGATAGGAACCAGGGGTCGCCATGACTACAACACAGATATAGACCTTTTATTTACTATCCAGAACCACCAGTGAACCTACACGAGTCTTCTGAGTTTATATGGAATGTTGATGATGGAAAATAGTGGAAAATCTGAAATAATACGTTTTCTTTGGGGACTATTTTGCCTCACAACACCCTTCATATTATGTATCCCTCCACCATCAATGAGTTTAAGGCCAAAATGTTCTTTAAAACAGTGTCTCAGTCATCAGGCAGTGAATTCATAACCATTTCATGTAGGAACTTTCTGTGAGGGAGCTTTTAGAGGTGGACGTCTGGTTCCCATCACCACCACTGTGAACAATTCCCTAAGTTTATCTAGAACGGAGCGCTTCACACCAAACCACTCTGAACGACTCGGTTTACAGCTCAACCGTTTAATTATGCAGTAATTTTAAGAAATATGTGAAATTCTCATTTAATTCCTGTTTAATCTAGGCTCCGCCCACAAAGCTGTTCTTTCGTACCTACTGTCATGAGGCTGGAGAAGCTTTACAGAACGCTGGAGACTCTAGAACACGACTCAGTTTATATCTGAATGAATAACTGGCTCTAAATGTAGGTATTGTGATATAAACTGAGTCTGTTCTACAGTTTCTCATTAGGCTGAATGAATAACTGACTCTAAATGTAGGTATTGTGATATAAACTGAGTCTGTTCTACAGTTTCTCATTAGGCTGAATGAATAACCGACTCTAAATGTAGGTATTGTGATATAAACCGAGTCTGTTCTACAGTTTCTCATTAGGCTGAATGAATAACTGACTCTAAATGTAGGTATTGTGATATAAACTGAGTCTGTTCTACAGTTTCTCATTAGGTTTTTATCAGCATTCTGTAAAGCTTGTCCAGCCTCACAACAGTAGCTATGGACGTGGGTGGCCAGATTAGCTTTATTAGAGCAGTAATATATTAAAACATGCAGGACAGAGTTACTCCAGGATTGGTGACCACAGCTTTAGATGATCCTCATGGTTCAGTAGCTGAACATCTGCGGTGCTGTAGAGGCTTGCTGTGGAGGTCCTGAAGCCGGGGGCTGGATTTGATGGCTTTGCTCTGGAGGGGGCTGTGCCTGCTGGGGCAGCTGCTGCGGAGTGGCCGCCTGGGGCTGGGGGTCCTGGGGGTCCGGCTGGGTTCCGTCCATGGTGGCTGCCACGTGAGTCCCGTCGCCGGGGGTAACGGGCCTCCAGGCTAACGCAGGCTGCTCCATGGGGTGCGTTATGGGGTTGACGAAGGTGGTGAGGTTGATGAAGTGAGCGACAGACTGGGGGGCCGCAGGGCCCGCCCCTGCCTCCCCCTGCAGCTCCGAAGGCCGGTTGTGTAGCATGGTAGAACCGCTGACCGTGTCAAACGTCACGGTCAGGATGGAGCTGTCCAGGGTCAAAGGTCGGTCGCTAGGCGCCAGGTGTCCCACGGCGACGGGCTGCAGGCTGGTGAACTGTGTGGGGGCGGGTGTGTTTATAGGGGTCACTGTGATGTTAGTCAGACTCACTGAGCTGGACGGGGACACAGCAGAGGCGGTGCTGGGCTCTGCCAATACCACCACCTGGGGGGAGGGTAGAGATTAACACTTAACACAAAACTGCCAATCATAAACTTTTCCTACTTTATCAGAAACCCCTTCTCTTTTATCTCTCCACCGTGCAGTTGATGCACAATTTTTTTTCTTAGTTCTTGTCCAGTCAAATGTCTGCAATTCCAAGCCTTGAATCCAGATTCCGGTCCTGTTTTTTGTAATCACTGGTTGATAAATGGGCTGTTGATGTAACTGAGTGTCATAGTGACTAAAAATCCAGGACTAAAAAGTGTCGTATCAAACATTGCATTTTCAAGGTTTATAGTTGTCTGCCAGACATTTTCTGAATATTTGTATAATTTTACACAATAACTTACATTATAAAAAAAACATTAGTAATGTATTTATTAATTTTAAATTAAATACAGTTTAATGTGGCCAGTTAGTGGAAGCACAAGGTGAGTGTTTCTAATCAAGTGGCCAGTTAGTGGAAGCACAAGGTGAGTGTTTCTAATAAAGTGGCCAGTTAGTGGAAGCACAAGAAGGGTGTTTCTGATAAAGTGGCCAGTGAGTGGAAGCACAAGGTGAGTGTTTCTGATAAAGTGGCCAGTTAGTGGAAGCACAAGGTGAGTGTTTCTAATAAAGTGGCCAGTTAGTGGAAGCACAAGAAGGGTGTTTCTGATAAAGTGGCCAGTTAGTGGAAGCACAAGAAGGGTGTTTCTGATAAAGTGGCCAGTGAGTGGAAGCACAAGGTGAGTGTTTCTAATAAAGTGGCCAGTTAGTGGAAGAACAATGTGAGTGTTTCTAATAAAGTGGCCAGTTAGTGGAAGCACAAGGTGGGTGTTTCTGATACAGTGGCCAGTTAGTGGAAGCACAAGGTGAGTGTTTCTAATAAAGTGGCCAGTTAGTGGAAGCACAAGAAGGGTGTTTCTGATAAAGTGGCCAGTTAGTGGAAGCACAAGAAGGGTGTTTCTGATAAAGTGGCCAGTGAGTGGAAGCACAAGGTGAGTGTTTCTAATAAAGTGGTCAGTTAGTGGAAGCACAAGAAGGGTATTTCTGATAAAGTGGCCAGTGAGTGGAAGAACAATGTGAGTGTTTCTAATAAAGTGGCCAGTTAGTGGAAGCACAAGTTGGGTGTTTCTGATACAGTGGCCAGTTAGTGAAAGCACAAGGTGAGTGTTTCTGATACAGTGGCCAGTTAGTGAAAGCACAAGGTGAGTGTTATCTTTATTAGAAACAGTTTATGTTTCTAATAAAGTGAATCCATTTCTATTATTTGTTTGAGAAGTGTGGAAATACTCAGCGTTACTGAGCCGAACCTGTTGAATGCTCTGCACGGCGGAGTTGGTCTCGTCTCCCACTGCGGTTGTGAAGGTGGTTTTGTTGGTGTATTCGGCGTACTCGTTTGAGTCAGAGAGCTCCGTCTCCACCTGCTGCAGCTTTTGCCGTTTCTTAGCGGGGCTGGAGTTCCGGTGGGCTTTGTCTGCTGGGAGGGGGCCTTTCTCCAGTGGCAGAGACGGCTGAAACACACATACACATACATATATTTCATATATGCGCCCCATTTATATTATTTAGATGTATTGTGAGGCATATTATTATTACATATTAATTTAAGCCAAATTCAAGTCCAAATCTCTGGAACCATAAAGAAGTGATTAGCTTTAAACATTCAGTTTTGTAAAACGCACTTTACAAAG